TCTATGATTCTATGATTCTATGAAAATGGGACAATCACATTTTATAAGAAGCAAAACCGTGATTTAACTATGCAGCAATTCCCAACGCATGCCATTAAATATTTATCCTACAAAACCATGCAATCCACATGCTATACACTTTAGCAAAATGCTCCTTTAAAGACAATTTAGGGACTTTTAAACACTATTTCCCTGTAAAGGGAAACTCTTTGTATGTCAGACAGCACTCAGATGGAGAAGAAATATGTTGTTAAAGATAACTTAAGATTTTCAGATATAGATGCTATAGTTTTAAGATTTATCATGGAAAAAAAAGTAGATGCCTTGTTCTATTGAACAAGGGAGATTCCGTGCTGTGGATTCATGTCTATGCAATGCACTCAACTTGTCATGATTTTCTAGCCTGTGCTTGTTATTCAAGGGTTGATAGGGCTTGATTACAGCTGCCAAATGTCTAAATAGATCAAAGAATCCCCAAGGACTTGAAGAACATATATTTGACCTTTCCAGGAAAATACTTTCCTTCCTTCCCAAATTGAGACATTTCTCATTTCAGATTAAATCAAAGTCAACAGAAGAAGGCACCATGCTGGAAAAGACTTGAGTCCCCTCCTACCAAAACAGATGTATTTGAACAGGTCACATAAAGAATCTCCCCCCCAACTCTGTCCCACTATTTTTCTGTACATACACTGCATGTTCTCTAGAGAGAAAGGAAAGAAAAACTACCCCACAGAAATCTCAGTGTCTGGACTGACGTAGAGCATGGTACTGTTCAGGTGAGCTGGAAAGGGCTGTCAGGCACCTCTCCCACAGCTCTCCTGCATGTGAAGCAGGGGAAGAGTAGTGGTTCCCAGCTCAGACTGCTGCAGATCTTCCTGGCACAGATTGTTTATCCATAATGCCAATAAAATACATGCACAGACGTATTTTGCCTTCAGAAGGACGGTATTTTACCAAATATGTGCTTGAAAATAAGTAAAAGGGCATACCCTTACTCACTTGGCTCCATCCAGTCTCACCTGCAGTAGGCTGTGCTATACTACAACTGCGCTTTGTCTCCTTTTCAGGAATCAAGCATAAACATTTCCAGCAAATGTTCTTAAAGATAAGTTTGTTTGCCAAGTAGTGCTGCTTTTGACCTGAGTAACAGTTGTGAGAAACTGTTTTGTTTACACAGGGAAGCTAGAGAATAGACTTTCCAATCCCTTGTCACATACCAGCCACACACTCATTAGCCATGATGTTTGCTGCAGGCAAAAGAAGAAATTTCTCTGGAAGCCATCATTAAAATATTTTATTCCCCTGGGCTGCACACTGCCATGTATTTTGCAGGCATCTCATAAAAGTAAGAGGAATATACATTTTAAGAAGCTTTTTTTTTTAAAAGGAAGGCCTAGGAACTGACAGCAACATCATTAAAAGTGACTCTTAAAAGGATTGTGAGTACAACTACTGCAACATGCTTCATCCGGAAATGTTAAAGCAAAACATATGCTGAAGTCAGAAGGAATTTTCTCTGTAGGAAGACCACGAAGGAAAACCGAGCAGAGATTTCAGAGTTTAACTCAGCGGGCAGTTCTGAGCAGGCAAGTCTTGAGTACACCAGTTACAACAAAACCTCATAGTGATATAAGGGTGTTTCTCAGCAGAGCAGTGCCTGTGAGGGACAAGAGACACTGAGTTAACTGCTGAGTTTGCTGCTGCAAATGCAGAAATATAATGTGTCTCCTTCTGTATCACATCAGAATCTGCTTTTCATTCAGGGGTCTGCTCTAGTTACAGCCCACTGCTATTTCTATACGACCGTAGGCATGTGTCACTGGACACATGAACAAGGATACCAGCTGACCCAGTAAAAACAAACCAAAGAAACACTGAGGCACTGGTGAAGCTGCTGTACTTGGAGATGCAAGAAATGCATGGTCTTAAGTGCTTCCCTAGCAGCTTCCCAGGTGTCCAAGCTCCACACCCAGCTTGTACAGCCTCTCAGATTAAAAATAAATAAACATCTCTGTTGCTCTGATCTGAGAACCACAGGCTGAGAAGAGCACGAACAGTGCCGATGGCAGATCTCTACAAGATATTTGACTTGGCACTGTCATTTTAAATCAGAAACTGGAACAAACCCGACAGTCACACATTTACAGAATTAAAAGCCATGCAGGACACAGATCTTGAAGTATCAATAGGAGACACTGCCCACACTGCTGTGTTTCTGCTGGAGAGCTTAAACCCAGTTTTTGTCCCCCTGTTACTTAACATTTTTTCTCAATTGCCTGGAAGAAGGTAATAGTGGAGTATTTGTGGGTGATAAAGGTGATGGGTGCTTAATAAATGGGATATATCACTGTCTGAATGCAATTTGGATGGCTTGGCCTGCTGACTGCGAGGGAACGTGTTGTCCGGGATTTCCCTCAGCTAACTTTAGACCTCTGCATCTGAGTGAGCCACACAGGTTCCTTTTATAGGCAATGGAGAAAAATAGGCATCTGACCTACTCCAGATATCTAGAAGTGCCTATTTTTCGCAAGTGGTTACAGAAGAAATCTAGAGATGCTGTAGATCTCTCACAGTTAGGTAAGTTAACCCCATCCTATGTGTTTCTATACAGCCCAACATAAATTGATTTGCATTCCTAGCCAGAATGCAAGAAGGCAGGCCATATTTAAAGGAAAGGCAGTGCCTTGGAAAGAACCCAGTCAGAAAAGAAGTTGGTTGTCCTGCAGAATAACCAGTGGAAGATTAGCTCCCTGTACACTGCTGTGACAATCCTTAGATGAGCAGAGAGGCAAATGTCCACGAGGAGCAGGACAATTATGTCAAGTTCCTATCTGGTACTGTGCAACCACTGCAGGAGTGCTGGGTCCAGATCACAATTTATTGAACAATTTGATGATTTAGAGAGAGTTTGGAGAACAGGGCTTTGAATACTTAAGGGACTGGTAAACTTGTAAAACCTCACAGGCTAAGTAGCTTATCAAGGAGAGGTCTGTGGGATGACTCAATGACAGGCTATAATTTTGTACTTAGTGAACACAGCTAAGTGTAGGCAAAAGGAGAATGGGATCTGATGGCTGGAAGCCAAAGTTGCAGAAATTAAGTCTAGAAATAATTTACAAATAATTTACAGTGAAAGCAATTAACCACTGGGAGAACTTATTATTAAAGTAATTTTAATGACTAGCAATTTTTAAATCAAAACTGAATATTTTAAATGGCCTAGTTCAAACAAAGTGTAATTTAAACATGTCTGAAGGGTTATGTTGTGCTATTCATGAGTGTCAGACTGGATGACCACTATAGTCTCTTCTGGCTTCATAATATATAAATTTAAGAAAAACCTTAGGTTAAATCTACATAGCTCAGTGACAAAAAATACAGACATATCCCAGAAAGCACAAATATCAGCACTGAGCAGTAGTGTGGGAAGAGCCCTGTGATCAAATTAGCAGCGTAGCTTCTTATACCCAAGCTCATTCATTCAGCACAACACCGTATTTGTAACAGCCGGGATTCATTGGAAGGGTATATTTTCCAGATCTAGTAATATACAGGAAGTAGGCAAGTCAAAAGTGTAAAGGGGAGGGAGAAATTGGGTTTTGCAATGCTGAAATGTGTATTGCATGCACACGTTGGAGGATGGAGCACTTGTAGCACAAAAAAGCTTAACTGGAGTCAGTAGTACTTCCACTGAAGTGCTGTTCAGTATGTGAAGAAGTACAGCAAGAGCTTGCCCTAACCTGTGCACTAACGTCTGCTTAAAATAATGCAATGATCTTGGATACTGCAGACATGAAGGAAGAAAAAGCTTTAGACACAATACAGATATGGACAACAGCAAGCAAGACCGACAACAACAAACTAATACATTCCTCAAGGTTTAGGGTGCAAAAGGCTTCACAGTTAGTAGAATACGGTCAGTTAAATCTATCTTGTAACAATAAACAATGAGTCACAGTTGTATAAAATGAGTTTGGTTTAAAGTGGATGTTCAAAGGCATATAATCTCCATTTGGTTTATGTTTTCACAATCTGTTTTTTATTGCTGACATTGTGGCTGTCATAAACTATGTGAAATATTTGATCCTGATATTCCAAAGAATCTGACATTAGCGATGAGCAAAGCCCAGAAAGTTCATGAATTTGTACCTCAAAGACTGGTTTCCCTAGAGTATCCCAGCTGTCTGGGTCAGGATGGTGCTCAGTGGATACATTTCCATTGGCAAAGAAAAAACACTGGTGCCAGCAGCCTTCATGGCATCCTCAGGTGAAGCAAAAGAATTAGTAAGTGACTTGATTTATTCAGGTGAAGATTGAAGCAATTTGGCTGGGAAATTACTGCTTTCCTTCCCCATGGTATGCTACATGGGTGGACAAGACTTCCTCAATTCAGTCCAGGAAAAACACTGAGAATGTCTTGAGGTGAAAATTGCTTTCTTACCAAAAGGTTGTATTGTCAGTGCTGCCTTTTGCAATGATATTCTGAGGCAGAAGGTTTAATTATTTAGGGCCTGATCAAAATCTTATTGACTTCTGATGAGGAAGATAAAGAACCTAAAAGCATTAAAATGAAAGAGGATTTTATATTAATTAAAATTATATCTTTTTTCTCCTTTTTAAAAAGAGCTTTTATCTCACCACTGCTGCTTGGTTTGTATGCACCTAAGGGCTTTGCCTAAAAGTTACAAAAATTTTTTTTTGAATGGTATATCAATTAAAGTTATTATTAGCTGTCAGAATGTTGCAGAAGTCACACTGTCAGGCTTCTGTGTTTTTTCTCTTATTTCAGGCTGTGGAACATTTACTTTTTTATCTTCTGCTGTTGCTGCCATAAGCGGACTTCTGATGGGTTATGAGTTGGGCCTTATCTCTGGAGCTCTTCTTCAGATGAGCAGCATATTAGCACTTTCTTGCAAAGAGCAGGAAATTGTTGTAAGTTCCCTGCTTTTTGGGGCCTTATTTGCATCCCTTTCTGGTGGATTCCTGATAGACCGATTTGGAAGGAGACTTGCTATTATTATTGCATCTTCTTTACTTGTGTTGGGGAGTCTGATTTTACTGCCCTATGAATCATATGGGATACTTATTGTGGGACGGATTGCCATAGGTATTTCCATATCATTATCATCAATTGCAACATGTGTGTATATTGCTGAGATCGCCCCACAGCACAGAAGAGGCCTCCTGGTGTCATTAAATGAACTCATGATTGTGGTAGGCATTCTCTTTGCCTATATTTCAAATTATGCATTTGCCAGTGTCTCTCATGGCTGGAAGTACATGTTTGGCCTTGTGATTCCATTAGGTGCCTTGCAGGCTATTGCCATGTATTTCCTTCCTCCAAGTCCTCGGTTTCTTGTCATGAAAAATAATGATGAAGCTGCAAGAAAAGTACTGGAGAGGCTACGGGAAACATCAGATGCTACTAAAGAACTTACTGTGATCAAATCTTCCCTGAAAGATGAACATCAGTATAGTTTCTTGGACATGTTTAGCTCAAAAAACAACATGAGGGCCCGGATGTTGGTAGGACTCACTCTAGTCTTTTTTTTGCAAACAACTGGACAACCCAACATTTTATTTTACGCATCAACTGTTTTGAAGTCAGTTGGGTTCCAGAGCAATGAAGCTGCCAGCTTGGCTTCTACTGGAGTTGGAGTGGTTAAGGTGGTCAGCACAGTCCCAGCCACAGTTTTTGTGGATCAAGTTGGAAGTAAAACTTTTCTGTGTATTGGCTCTTCCGTTATGGCAGTGTCATTGGTCACTATGGGCTTAGTGAACCGTAACATACATGTGAATTTCACCAGTGTCTGTAGAAGCCAATCTCCAGAGGATTTCTTGCTCCAGAGACCAGGAAACCTCACTGGTGTCACCAATGGGAGTCTCAAGGACCTCTTTGCTAGCATGGCTTCACCAGAAAGGCTGTCATTTGGCATGCAGAGAAGCTCCAACATTGCCAGGACAGGAGAACTGAACAGGACTGCCGTGGCAGGAAGCAAAAGCACAACAGGGGCTCACATGGAAAGTGAGGAGGTTCCCGTTGTCCTGAAGTGGCTCTCGCTGGCCAGCCTGCTTGTGTATGTTGCTGCATTTTCCATAGGTCTCGGACCAAGTAAGTATTTCATTTTTCTAACTCTTTGCAATTATTTACTTACAAGTGGATTACATGCTGGGATGACATGCCCAGCTTGGCATCAGGCAGTTCCCAAGCTGGGCAAAGCAGTAGTTTCTGCTAATATGTGCTGGTATTGTCACAGACTGTCCTTTTGTGCCTGGGGTGTACTTTTTAGGCTAGGTCCTTCTCATTGAGGTCAATGGCCTGATCTCCCTTCAATTCAGTGAAATTAACTGTTCCCCTTAGGTGAAGTTACGAACTGGTGTGAGCTTTGTACAGAAAAAAATACGGGGCCCTGGCTCTCTTGCCTCTTCCTAGTCTATTGTGTCCTTACATTGGGAACGTTAAGATGAGGCATTTGCTACTGCTAACTCATAAACCCAAAATAATGATAAGCTGTAGACCTTTGTACGGTATGACTCCATCAAATCCATGAAATGCCAACATGCCTGAGACCAGCTGAGGATCTGGCCCCTTGACTATGTGACAATCTTCAGATACAGGAAAGATATTGAAAGCATCAAAGTTCGTTAGCGATTAGTATCATTGCGATTACCTGTGCTGAACAGCACAAGCAGAAGAACACAAAGGCGTGTCGCTGTACAACTGAGGTTCTGCTGCAGCTGTCATTGTGCTTACAGGGTTGCCACTCTCTCCAGAGGAGAACACGTCTGCCATTCCCAGGCACTAGCATTTAAATCTCTTCCTTTGGTTTTGTTTTGTTTCAATAGCACATGCCTGTTATTGTTCTTTGAAGGCATTGATTTTTTAAGCCATACTGCAAAACCCACATGCACAGAGCCCATTATTTATTAACAGACTTTATGTGCTTTTGTGCCCTGGCTCAAACTTGCCTTGCAAACAAGCTGTACTCCTGCTGCACTATTATGATAAAAAGCTTGCCACAAGAACACAGCCCAACAATTGCACTAACAGCAGCTCCCCTGCAGTATTTATTTATTTTAAACATTATTCACTGGGAGAGCAGTGTGAGATAAGCATTCATTGCCAGGGCAGAGAGCTTGATTGTGTTATTGCAGCATGATTCCCTCCCTTACAGACCATCTTGGGCCTGGATTCTGCTTTCGGTGACATAGGTTCATAAGCAGGGGTGCAGCCCTGAAAATAAAATGTTACTTGAGCTCTTACTTGGGTTTTCCAGACTCACATGTAATGACCCTCAAGGCAAGGGTGTGTCCAGGCTTGGCCTCCTGTTGAAAGCTGCTTTCCTGTTGACCTGGCTGTAAGTGAGTTCCTGGCCATTTGGGGTGGCCTGATGCGATGTTAGTGATAACATCTGCTTCCTCGAGGGCGATAGGAACAGAGGTGTGTTAGCCACGCTAATCTGAGAAGTCTTGGAGGCCCATGCTTGTTTTCTGATCTCTCTCTTGACTAAGAGCACAAACGTTCTCAAACAGCAAATGGGAAAGAACAGGCACCGCCTCAGCTCCCATGGGTTGGAATCAGGGGTGCGGTTTGAACAGGCAGTTTAAACTGACAGATGCGTCTGCGTAGCAAGCAAAGGCTAGGTCCAGGAGAGATACAGCTATTTCAAAATGTACGTAAGTACTTTCAAGACACTTTCACACCTTTAAAAATACAATGTTCAGTTCAAATTGACCATGTATAGAAAATGCAAGGGTCAGAGAATCATGAGATTGTTGGAATCTGCAAACAATCTATTTCAGTTAAATTGCCTTGGCTGGGACGCAAGGTTATGATTTGTGTCTCATATGCAGCCTTCAACATCTGCTGTTAGGATTCCAGATCCTAGAATGTATTTTAAAAGCCTCGCTTTCTTATCCTCAGTATGCCTTTCGTAGTGTAAAGAAAAAAAAAACAAGCCCCTCTGCTTATATGAAGTAACCAGTTTTAACATGTTTATGTTATTCATCTCTAAATCTGGTCTGTGGTCTGGACCAGGTCGCTAGCCATTGTCTGCTCTGTAACTGGAGGGTGGGATGGAGGCATCGAGGCTGCGCTTGTGGACGGCTGAAGCCAGGCAATGCCTGGCAGCCTGTGGACAGCAGCACTGTAACCCCCACACCACGATATTTTCAGTGCAAATTCTTGTACTCTGCACAGTGTCTGCCCATCCTGTTGGCTAAGATGAAGACAGTGCTGGGGATGAGTCTGTTTGTAACCTACAAGTCAAATCAGCCTCTTTTGGACAAAGAGCGGAGAAGATCCTGCTCTTTTCTCTCCACTCCATGAGACCATTTCTGGAACAAATTCACCCACTTTATTTTGAGTCCATGTTGCATTGTATTCTGTGGGGATAAAGGAGAGCCTATGTAGTGTCATTAGGAAAATGACACACTCTTCACAGGGCAGATCATGCAACTTGAGCTCTATCATCTTTTTTTTAAACTCCTTTGTTCTTTTTTTTTCCCCTTCCTTTTTTGGGTTTCTGGTCAAAGAACTAGTTACAGTCCAGATTTGCACAGCAGACATTTATAAGTGTTTTATTTTTCCATGATTTCTCTTTTGTCTCCAAATTACATGAAGTAGATGGATTTTCTAATGAACTAAACATATGCTAAATACATTTATTCCATTTATCAAAGCACCCAGGCAGCACAGTGATGAGCGCCCAAAAATAGACAGTGAGAGATAAAAGCCATTTTTCCATTATAAAAGAGTTCACACACTAGCAAGCATCTGCTTAGTCACTTTTTTGTTTCTGGGGTGCTCTGTATTTATATCATCACTCCTTAGGCATGACAAAAGGTGTATTTCTGCTGCTCTGTTTCTGATTAATTATGTTTGATGAACTGCTATTCAACTGCTTGTTCACACTCAATTTCACACAATTACAAGGACTTTCTGTAGGTGCAACAAGCCAGTGTTATGTCATGGAACAGCACATGCTGTCTCTCCAGGGAGGTTTGCAGAGGCGTTTCAAGGCAGTTATTAGCTAAGGGACTTACCTGACACCCATCTTTGTCTCAAGTTACCTTTGTCTGTATATCAGAAAGGTTGGATGAGGATGAAGGGTTCTCACCAGGGAAGGATTCCTTCAGAGCCCATGAGAAACCTCTCTCTGCCTGCCACATGAAGGGTGAGGAGTGTGAAGGGGCTTTTCTTGGTTTTCAGTGCTTATTTGCAAGGAGAGGCATTTGAACCTGTTGTACACGGAGGAGGGGACAGCAGAAATCTGAGCCTGGCAGAAACACTGCTGTGCTTTGCACAGGGAGCAGCGAGGGCAGGTGAATGAGATCAGTGCAGTGTGGAGGTAAATTACCAATTCATCACCCAAACTAAAAGCTCAGTGTGACCCCAGAAATTAATTTAACACAAAGGACACACAGAGAAATTCTAGTCAGGGCCACAACCATGCATGACCATTTACTAAGTGACATGGTGTTCACTGAAATAGTTGCAGAGCATCTCATTTGCCAGATACTCTGTTCAAACTCCTTGAGGGGCCCAGAATGCTCTTGCACCAAGTGCCCTACCAGAAACCAGAAAATCTTGTGGGAAAGAGAACTGTCAGTGTGGAAATTCTGACCCTGTGAATTTAGTTGATTGTTCCTGTGTTTTGAAATATTGTAAGATGTATGGCCTTGCACTAGCTTGTAAAACACTGGTAAAAGATAGTGGTGTCTAGAATTCACATAAATATCTTTGATATTAGAACAATATTTCAGGCCTTTACAAAATGTAGTTATTGTATGAATTTATAGTGCACATGAGTTTTATTTTAACAGGCATTCATGTTCAACATTGCCTCGCATGACATTTGTTTGCAATGTTTTATTTTTGAGCTTCTACATTTTGCAGAGCAGCTGTGGCCCAGCCTTAAATTTCACAGAAATGAGCAGCATCAATTTTATGTTGTTTTATGGTTCACTCTAGAAAAGGAGATAGTGGTGGGGATTAAACCAAATGCTCAAAAATAAGCAAGTGCTTAAATGCTTTGTTGGATCTGAACCAGGATAATAAACCTTGGAAATGTGCATTTTCCACTGAGGGTCAGTACAGAAAGTCCTATTTTAGTTAATTAAACAATTTTCTTGTGTTCTTTATTTTATGACAAGATTCCTACCACTGTTCATTTGCACGGAATCATCTTTTAATGCGTGCATCCATGTGGTTTGAATATGACACTCCTAGTATTTATCTAGCTCATTATTCCTGTGCTGTTCAAATGGTGCCTCATGTGGCCTTTATGTCAGTGTGTCTGTACTAGCAAGCTGCAGTAGAAAGGCAAAGCATGCCAAAATGAAAAATAAAGCAAAGACTGTGAATTGTCCACCTCTCCCTATTTCCTTGCCCTAGAGAAGGTTTGTCTGAAGCCTCTTGTTAACGCATCAGCTAACCCAGGAATCCGTTTGCCTTTTCACAGGCTGATTTATAGTGGTGAAGTGCAAGCCAATTTAAGATTTTTTTGGGTAGCTGAATGCTGAAGTACAGGATTTCAAATTGCAGGAGGTGTTCTCTAAAATACCACCCAAATAGGTTAATCTTATCTAACTTGATAGAGCCTACAAGTTTGGGAGGCTTTTTTAAGTGTGAAAAAGTTCATAATGAGGAACAAAATGCTTTTGCAGTAATGAGACATGGCAATGTCAGTGGGAGCTTCTCCTTAATTAGTTTAGGACTCCATTTTGCAAAGAGCAGAATAGTCTTGTTCAGCCCTGAGACTGAACTATATTCTGAGGCATATACTTGAAATCTGGGACAGCATTTTCACTGACATCTGTGTTTCTGTTCATAACTTTACTTTTAAGTATGTAAATGAAGTCTTGTCAGATCAGGCCAAGGGTTTTGCTTTCTGAAAGACAGAGCCCTTGGTAGTGTGCAGAGAGGGAGTGACAGCACCATGCCCCAGACAATGTTCCTGTGTCTCTGCAGTGAGGGTGGTTCAATTCGCTGTTGCTGAGCACAAAATTTGGCCCTCCACAAACTATCCAGCAAAGGCAGGTGACTACCTGTGTTTTAATATATTATGCTGCACTTAAACAACAATTTGAGTCAATATTCTGATCTTGGTC